TTAGCCAGGGACCAGAAAGCTGTGAGCCAGGGGAAGCAGCTGGGGCAAAATAGGACAGAGAGGAGCTTTGCCCATGGGGAATTGGACTCTCTCCAATTCCAGTGTATGGCTCAGCTGCTGGCATCTGTCTGAAGCGTGGTTGAGAGAATGCAGCACAGTACTTATTGTACCAGGTGGAGTTGGTTGGCTTTGCCCCAACTGTTCCAACCCCTGCTTCTTACCCAGAAAGGCAGAATCTCACTGATCAGCCTTCCTCACAGCTATGGACGGTCACATGACCAGTCTGCCGTGTGTGTGTGTGTGTGTGTGTGTGTGTGTGTGTGTGTGTGTGTGTGCGGTGGGGGGAGCTGCAGAGGGGTTTCTGGGAAGATGTCCTACCATAGTCAAAGGAATTGGAAATTGAGAGCATGGGACAATGCCCTGCCATTTCCCGTTTCACCACTTCCTGAGCCCGAGTGAAGTTATCTGAGCACCTGATGCTTTGGTTTTCAGCCAGGGAACAAGAAGGCAACAAGCCCAAGGACGAAAGCCAACAACACATCCAGTGGGAGAGAAGGAAGGAAAACACTCAGGACTTTCCCAAGTGATTTAATCTCCCAAAGAGCTCATGAACCTCCAGGCCAACCCAGGGACTGTAGAAGACCTCTTAATTTCATGCCTTGTGAACAACAAATACCCCTATTTTCAAGACACCTTACTTCGATTTTTGTTATTTGCAGCAAAGGTAGTTCCTAAAGGATAGCCCCATCATGTTCCTATTTCCATTCCTTTCAGCTTATACCTAGGAGTAGAATTTGTGGGTCATATAATTAGCTTTATGTTTAACATTTGGAGAAAGAACCAGAATTTTTCTCACAATGGAAGCATCATTTTACATGAGGTTTCCTATTTCTCCACATCTTCAACATTAGTTTTTTGAGGTGTATTGGGAGACTTCTCTTTGTTTGACAAACTTCTATTCATCCTTCAAAACCTATCTCTTATGGGAGTCTTTGTTGAATGTTCTTATATTCTCAGACAGAGTTAATCTCTACTGCTTCTGGATCTTGCATCACTTAGCTTTTGCATCTATTGTGTAACTTTAGATGGCTACCTATGTTTCCTGTGAGATTATGAGCTAGAGGAAGTCAGGAATCATGTTGAATTTGAATCTGAATAAGCAATATCAAAGCATGAAGAAATCCTCAAGGACCAGATGGAGATGAGCAACTTGCTTCTCCCCACCTGCTGGTGATTTGTCTACATGGAGAAGCAGTTTCCATCCTCTGCAGCCTCTCCTTGCTCTTCCAGCAAGCATGGCTTGGCAGTGGGGCCTGAAGCAGTGGCGTCTGGTGCGCTCCCCATCCAGGCCCCATGAGGGTCCTCTGGCACTCACATAGACACACTAAGCATGAAAAGTGACCCAGGAAACTTGAAGAGTACCAAGGGCAGAGACAAAACCCCACCACAGTCCTGAGTGATCCATACCCTTTGCCAATGCTTTTCCAGGGTGACAGGTGAATAGAGAAGACAGCAGCTTTGTGCCTGAGACAACAGCCAGGCAGGGTTTGATCTGGGGTCAGACTATGAGCTGCCACTCTGCAGCCATGTGACTTTATGCAGGAGAATTTATTCTTCTGGCCTCTGTGTCCTTACCTGTCGGGGGGCCTAGGAACCCTCTTCATTATAGGGTGTTTGATAAATATAAAGGGCTCATAGCAGAGCCCAGCATGTAGGAAGCCTTTAAGAAATGCCAATAGCTAAGCCAAAGAAACAGCCTGGGGGGTTGTGAGCAGGTGAATGGGTAAGGAAAGTGTGTGTATGTTCACAATGGAGTACTATTCAGCCATAGGGAACATGGAAATTTTCAGGAAAATGGATGGAAGTAGAGAGCACCATGTTAGGTGAATAAGTCAGACTCAGGAATAGAAATATCACCGAGAAGGGAGAGTGAGAGAAAGAGGGAGAGAGAGAACACAAAAGGGGGGCTATCAGAGAAGAAGGGAACAAAAGGGAGTGATGGAACAGGGGGAGGTGATAAGCAAGGAGAAGGGAAATGAAGGAGGGACGGAAATGATCAAAGTGTGTTACATACTTGTAGGAATGCCAAAATGAAACCATTAGCCTATATAGTTAATATGCACCAATTCTACACCTATTTTTTTTAAATGCTGAAATTATTTATTTTACCTTCCTTTCTTCTGCCACATTCTTCTGGAATCCTTCCTAACAGGCTGATTTGGGGGCTGGTTATTTCTCATATTTCCTGCTCTTTGCTCTTTGCTCTTTGCCTTTTTCTCTCACTCCAGGATCTGAATTGGAGATCATGGGACACTAAGGTGGGCAGGGAGGGAGAAGTACACAGGGCAGGCAGCATCCTCTGGGCTCAGATAATGACTCAGGTGCTCAGAGAGGCCAGGTGTGCATCTGTTTTAGGACCCAGGACTGAGAGAGCCTGGCAGAGCCCAAGGTCCCTTACTCCTGTGCTGCTGCCCACAGGGGATGAGCTGGGACCTTAAATTTCACTGAGCCCAAGAGAGGGATGAGCTTTATGAGGTTCCTAGGACTAAGGGGCTGCTCCTGGCTTTCTTGTGCATGCAAGTGTGTGGGCACACATGTGTATTGTGTGGGGGGGTGTTCATGTACATGTGTATATATATGTGTATATGTGCATGTGCCTATGAAGGACAGGAGAAGAAAAGAAAAAGGATAACTGTTTGTTCTTAAAACTGACACTAGACCTGGATGAAGGCCATTGCCTGTACTGTGCCTGTTTGAGTGGGATAGGGCATGGGCATTTCTACCTTGCTGTCCTTACTTCTCTTTGTGGCGATAACAGCCCAGAGGGGCCCAACTCTTCTGTCTTTCCAGTAACTGCTGATTTCCAGCCTTTGGAGTCATTGTGCCTATCGCTTCGATCCTTTGACTATTCCAAGGTTATTGCCAAGAGCTTATAGAAGTGGAATGTAGGTTGTGGGGATAAGCAGGACTGAGAGTGACTGCTGTGAGTATATGACCTTGGGGACGAGGAAGCAGCTCATTCCCTTGCTCCCTGGTGCCCAGCAACAGTGAATAGACCATGCCAAGTCCTCCAGGATGCCAGGCAGAAAGCCAGTCACAGATGTGGCAGGGCTGTGGCCACCAGGCACTGGGGCAGAGGCTTCCATCCAAGGCCTGGGAAGTCTTTTGCCACCGCCTGTCAGAGATCATATGTTGTCTGGAGAAAGCAAGTGGAGTGGCTGGAAAGCAAGGCTGGGGCCTGTCTCCAAGCTGAAGGATTGTGGGGCACAGGGCCCCTCCTCCCTGTGTGGCTGCACCTCTGAACTTATGCTCCTTATGGGGCCAGGATGCATTTTGATAGCTATACTACAGCTTTGCATTTGGTGAGGAGACAATGGAGCATGTAGTAATGTTGCACACCTACAGGTGCTCAGAAAGTGATTCCTTCTGTCATTCTCCTGTAATGAGCCCCATGCAGAGAGGGGATAAGGCCCTGGAAAGGTGAGATGTGTTAGATCTGGACCAGAGCCACAAGGACAGTAGTAATGGAGCTCATCTTGTGCTACTGGGTTGTGTGCTGCTGCCAGATCCTTGTTTCACCCTCTCAAGAGCTGGATGCAATCTTGGCCCCATTTCACAGATGAGCAAAAAATGGAGTCTGAGATTACCAATTTAGCTACGTCTAATGACTCATGGCAAAGCAGAGAATCAAACCCATGTTGCAAATGTTGTTAGGTGTTATTCTCTTCTGCACTGTACAGGTGGAGAGACTGAGTCTCAGACCAGGAACCTGGGGGAGGGGGCACTGCAGATTGAAGGACAGGTCAGGCAGTGAGCAGGAACTTTGAGGTCAGATGGACCTGGGTTTCCATGACTGGCTTGAGGCAGGCTGTCAGGCATGTTTCTCAGCCATCAAGCCTCAGTTTCCTCACCTACAGGATGCAGGAGACTTGAACTACCTGGCCAGGTCATGAGGATTGAACTCCACAACTTCAGCTCCCTGTCCAATGCAGCAGAGGTACCAGGAGATGGGTTGCACTGCCAACTTCTGACTGCTGTGCCTACCTCCATGAACCACTTGGCTGCTGCCAACCGAGGAAAGAAGCTCATTTCCTTCCCAACTCAGAGACCCCTGTGTGCTGGAGGGTCCTGCAGCCGTGCAGAACCTAGCTTTTCAGCTGCTGCTGGCACGGCCCAGGGCATAGGAGGCAGGCAAGCCCCCACTGGTGCACGCAAAGGCACATCACAGCCCATATTTTGAGGGGGATTTCACTCTGTGTTGCTGCCAGTGAAAACTGAACGGCAGCACCAGGCTGCGGAGTTGTGTGCCTGCCAGGGCTCAAGTGTCTGGCACTGCTCAGCATGTACCAGAGTCACCTGGTGTTCGTGGCAAATCTACACAGAAACAGCCCAGCACACTCGGGCACCAACACAGGGCAGCACATGTGCTGCCTCCCTGGTCCCTTTCTCCACCGTCCTCAGGAGCCTCACCAGCTTCCCACTGTCTCTGCGCCTAACTGTCCCTCTGTCCCTGTTTTGAGTCTGTCTCCTTTTCTTGGTTTCCTTATCTCCCTGCCTCTGACTCTGGTTCTACCCGTCCCTCTACATGTTACCTGTCTGATACTTGCTTGGTTGTCTCTGAGCCTTTCTTTTTCTTCATGGCTGTGTCTGCATTGCTGCTCAGCTATGTGACATTCTCTCTTTCTGTTCCCAATTCTCTCTGTTTCACTCTGTGTCTCTCCATTTGTCTCTGTTATCTATCTGGCTGCCTGACTCTGTTTGACTGTCTCCCTCTCGCTATTTCTCTGCCTCTCTTTCTCTAACTCATCCTGTCTCTCTCTTCCCCTACCTCTGGCTCCTTTTTCCTGTGACATTCTCCTGGAAATGCATCAAATAAACACTGAAGTGGCCGGAATTCAAGTGACAAACAACACTACACCCAGAATCCACCCCCACCCACAACCGGCTGCTCCCTCCTCCACATCACGAAGAGAAGCTATTGTGTCGGGCGGGAGTTGAGTGGAAGGGCCTGGGGGTCTGAGCTCTGACTGCTCTGAGCTACTTCCTTCCCCATTGGCTCTGAGCAGCCTGTGCTCAGCGAGGGCTGAACGACAGGGGAGGCTCTAGTCCATAAAAGGGGGGATGAAGCACCAGAACTGGCGTTCTAAGGGGCTTTGGTAGTGCTCACAGCTCCCTCTCTGGCACCTCTCTGAGCTGCCAGTGTCAGGGCTGACACTGGAACTGGCCACCTGCAGCTACTTTATGACCTGCCTTGCCAGAAGCCATCCCGGGACAAAGCAGTGTGCAGGTAAGGTCCAGGGGACCCTGGATTCTCGCTCTGGGTTTATTTGTGTACTCTTGGTCCTCTGTACCCAGAGGTGGTGGGACCCTCGGCTGGGGTTTCAGGACTGGGTCTGATTATTGGGCAAACATAGTCACAGTTACGAAGTGAGTTTACAAAAGCCTAAACAGGGAGAAAAGACTGCCCTTGGGAATCTCCCCCTCTATGCAGTCTCAGGTTGCATAGGTTTGGCTGCCTCTCAGAAGACCACCCTGTATTCAGCCCCAGGGTCCTCTTCCTCTCACCATCTATCTGCCCCACAGCAGTGCCTATGCCAATTTTCAGGATGCTGGGAGAATGGGATGCCCAGTTGGGAGATGTGAGAGGTTTTGCTAATTAGGGTGATTTTAAAGGTCAGCGATCTTTTCCAGATGCAGAGAACAGGGCTTGGGGACATTAATGAGAGTCTGGGCTCTGGCATTTATCATATTATCATGTACATCAATGTAAAACCAAGCCCAGCCTTTTCATGCTTTTTGGATCACATTTAATTGCTGACAGGGTGCTAGTTTGAGTGGCTTCCTTTGGATGTCATTTTACATAGAATGAAGTTTGGGATTGTTTTGTTGGGAGAAGAGGAAAATGAGGGACAGAATGCCCGGAGAGCCAGGCTGAGAAGAATTTTTCTTTGCGATTTTACTTAGAAAGGACTTGTTGCTTTCATGTAAATTACAGCCAGAGGTGGATAAATTAGCCAGGAAGGAAGCTCACTCAGGTAGGGAAAAATATTTGCTTTCTGGTAAAGATACCCATGTTCAAAGAACGTATTCTAGGAGCCCAAAGTTTGACTCCAGCACAATGTTGGTGAGCTTCAGGGGGCGGGGGAAGCCTGCTGACAACTCCAGGGTTGAATAGTCAATTCTGTGACCTCTTACTTTTCCCTGGGTATCTTTTTCCGAGAATCTTTCAAGCTTTACAAACATTCTTTAATTAAGCCTTCAAGCTTCCCAGGGGGAAACAAGCTCTTTAGGTTATTGGATCTGATTTCAATTCCCCTCCCACAGACTGAAAGCCCTCATTATCATCTTTCTGCCAAGGGTTGTCTTTCTAGTTTGACAGGCATTGCCATCAAGATCCGCGGCATGATGTGTATGAATCGTCTCAGAATGTCAGTGCTTGGTTCCTCCTCATGGCCTCACCACCCTCATTCCTCTGCTGTGCACCTTCTTCCCTTTGCCCTTCACCTTCACCCGCCATGCCTGTCCCATCCCACCTTGCCTTTGTTCTGTTTTTGCAGGTCATTTATCTTCAGGTTTTGAGATACGCTTGGAAGGAGCTCGTCAGCAGCCCAAGCCGGTGAGTTCTGCTGCTGGGGGAGGTCTGTGTTTGTTGATGTGATCACCAGCCGCTGCCTTGCCCCGGTGTAGCTGGGTGTGATGGGTGCGGGTGGTGAGCCCCTGTCTCCGCTGGCAGCTGGCAGGGAGATATGGCAGTGATTCCTGAGCTGAGTGGTGGGACCCAGCGTGTTTGGATGGTGCAGGAGCAGGATAAGGAATCAGTGGCTCTTGGCTGTTTGAGGAATTTCCAGTTGGCTTAAAACATTGGCAAGGTATCTGTTGAAGTAACTCTTAGGTCAGGAAGTTTTCCATATATCTTCGAAACATGTCCTACAAACACATGGGACAATTCTGGGTTCAAATCCCAGACCCCACCCTTCATTTGCTGTGTGATTTTGGGACAGTAGCTGCCCCTCTCTACTTCTTAATTTCTTCACCTATATCTTGAGGATAATTATTAGTAATACTCAACCCTGGGTTTGTGGTAAGGCCCCATGGGATACTGTAAACATTTAGTAGAGATTCAGTAAATGGTGCCATGACTGTCCAAGTTGTCACTGTTTCAAAATGGCAGTTTGGACCCCTCCCCACCTTTTATGATCTCCTCAATCATTCCATTCCATCCTGCTGTGTACTCTGCCCAGGCAATATGATTGAATATCTAATATTTCATTTGTGGATGGCACTTTTCTGCTCTCCTCACCCCAGTAGAAGACTTCATTTCTTCATTCTCTGCCTTGGGATCATGCAGCTTTATTCTGCTTGATCCTTCCTCACTCCCCCACCCACCGCCCAGCTCTTTGGGTCATTCTTGTACAATTGTATTTATTAGATCCTTTCCATCATCCTTAGAAAGATCAATAGTTGCTGTTTTGATTTCAGTGCATGTCAGATAAAGTTCAGTCAGCCACTGGTTTCTTTCACATTTTCACTCTTCTTGTCCATGAGTGATTGGCCAATTTCAGTGGGCATGACAAACTAATAAAAAAATAGCAATGAGCCAGAGCTGTGGCGGGCAGCAAGCATCTGCTAGAGACATCCAGGTAAGCCTAGCAGCGGACCCTGGAGGTAGACCCATGTCCAGAGTCCTTTGCAGCCTGGTCTCCTCCCTCTCTTCCTATCTGAAAATAGATTGATCATCTCATCTGGAAGGTCAAGGGTGCAGGTCCATGAAGCATGCAGACTTCACAAGGCTCCACCCTGAGTCCACCCAGTTCACTGTGCATGCCAGTGGTCAGCCATGAACTGAAGATGTACTCACCAGGGACAGTTTGTCCCTGCAGTGGCTTGAACTGCTGTTTGTATTTGTTTTATTCCTGGGCAATTTCATTAAACTTAACAAGGTTTTACCGGGGAGCTGCTGTGTGTTTGGGTCTCCGGCCCGCTGTCAGAATAAGCAGCACATTCAGGGCGGGGCGTGTGGAGAACGGGGAGTTTGTGTTTCCGCGTGAGCCATGAGCCTCCTGAATTAAGCCAGTTTCCTCCCACATCCTCTCTCTTTCACGTCACCCACTTCCTCTCTGGCCTTCTATCCCCCAAGCTCTCTCCCTCTCTTCCCCACTCATCCTCTCCTCATCCCTCTCATCTTCATTTTCTTTCCCATGTACTCTGCCATCTCTCCCTGCTTTTCTAGATGTCTTCATCTCTATGTAGATAAGTTCCAAGTCTGTCACTCCTTTTGGCCATTCTCTCACTCTTTTTCTGTCTCCATCTCTTCCTCTGTATCTCTCTATCTCTTTCTGGTTCACCCTCCTTTGTCTTTCCATCCCTTAATTACATCACATGATAAAACAGGTGGGAATTCTGTATTAGTCCTGCTGGTGAAGAGAGGCCTTTTAAAAAGGCAGCAGATGATCCCACCATGACCAGTGACTTCAAAGTTGTCCTTCTATCTGGTTTCCACATAGCCAACATGTCTGACCGTTGGCTGGGGCCTCATCCTGTGTCCTATGCATTAATGTCTGCCGACTAAGGAGTGGGCTTGCCGTTTGCTCGGAAACTGAGCCTCTCCCCACAAACTAATCACCCATCCTTTGTCAGTGACCACAAAGTCCCGAGAGAGCATAGCATCTTTTTTGAGGGCCCCCCTTCAACTGGCCCTGGGAGATCACCAAAATGAGCTTGATATTTTCCAGTGGAGTAAAAGTGCCTGAACTGGTTTCATCTTGAGGAGCGTGAGAGTAGTAACTCAAAGGGCATTTCCTGCCCCTCTGTGCCTCAGGATGGTGGGTGGAGTGGAGTCAGCAGCCTCACTTTGAGCCTTGGTTCAGCTGTTTCCTCATTTCTTGGCCTCAGCTGAATCCTGACCCTGTTTTACCATCTAGAGAGTGGGGTAATAGTGCCCAGACCACTGGGTTCTCTTAAGGGCAAAAATGAAATAATAGAAATGAATGAATAGCAGAGAGCTCAGCCCTACTTAATAGGGCATGCTCTGGGCTCTGCGAATTCCACCCCTGCACTCCTGTGTGCCGTGATCCTGAGGGTCCATATCACATGGTCCACATTTTCCCCTAGAACCTGAGCCTGTAACATTAGCCCATCTCAAGTCTATCTGCAGGCCCAGGCCTGGCGTAGGGCAAGGAAATAGTCCTTGAGCACTACTGGGATCCCTGAAACAGTGGCATCTCTGGGGGAGTCACTGGCAGTGTGGGAAGCTGAGCTCTGTCTTCACCTCCTTCCTGACTCATGATGTGACCTTAAACAAATGACTTCATTTCTACCTTTTTCCATTTCCTCTTCTATCAAATAGGGATAATCATATGCAATAAAGTGCAGGAAGAGATAATTGCGATGTTAAATCAAGCCATTATTATTCTGCACTGGCTTTTTAAATAAAAATGCTTGTGGTTCCTTGGAGCCCTTGGCTGACTACAACATAGGAATATCACTGAGATGAGAGGGCAGGAAGATCTGTCCCTTTTAAGAACTCTGGTCCAGTGGGTGGGGGCTCCAGTATGCTGTCCCTTTCAAAGATGCTGTCTCAGGTAGTCCTTATGGGGACTCACAGGGAAGTGACACCCCATTCACAGGTGGGAGGACTGGGACTTATGGAAGAAATGGCACTGGGGTCCCTCTGATACCTTTCCCTCCCAAGGAAAAGGAAAATCTAGGCGAGCTTCCCTAGAGCCTCTCAGTTGCACCCTGGAGAGCATTGAGGTGACCTGTTCCTGGCCCACTTAGCCCCCTGACTGCCTGGTCAGGAATTCCCACACCAGCAAAGCCTGAGAGTGGTCATGATTCAATAAAATGTCCACATGTCTGGAGACCCAAGAAAATCAGCCGAAAAGCCATTAGAGTCATAAAATGGTCATAAAATTCACGAAGGCAGGGATAGTACACTTAGTCTGTAAAGCCTAGAAAATAAATGTTTTTGGCTTTCTGGACTGCTCAGACTTTGTTTCAAAATAATGATGCCTCCTCCCCATCCCCCGTACTAAGGATTGAACCCAGGGCCTTGGTACTACACTCCTGGTAATTTTTTATTTTTTATTTTGAGACTGGGTCTCCCTAAGTTGCTAAACTACCCAGGCTGGTCTTGAACTTCCAGCCCTCCTGCCTCAGCCTCTCAGGCTATTAGGATTGCAGGGGAGCACCACTATCCCAGCTTGAAGCTTTTGTAACATGGAAACAGTGATTAGCACAAGCATCAACACATAGTTGAGTGCTGGATTAGTCAGGGCTACCCTGGTGGGCAGCACGGCAGGATGTGTCCAGGCACAGATCCAGAGCTGTTGTGAGGATTGGGCTCACATGCTTAAAGGAGGAAGTGAGTCTCGGCTGTCCTCTCCACTTTGTTAGGGAAGAATCCTCCCTCACCCCCTTAGGCCATCCTTTCTCGCAGGGCTGGGATAGTGGCCAGGACAGACTTCATGAACTGCCCCATTGGGAGGACTTTCTTTGCAAGGCCCCAGGCTCCCTGAGACTGGGAGAGGCTCTTTCTTCCTCTGAGGACCATGCAAGCTCCACATTAGGGTCATTCACTGATGTTGCCCTTGCCCTTGTCAAGTGAGCTGCTTTCCCCTCACGTCAATGACAGGCAAAGCGCCTTTCCCTTCAGCTCATCCCAGATATCCATGATCCATCATCACGACCATGGGCAGCTCCTGACCTCCACACTCCCTCCCTCTGCAGATCCTGGGAAAGGTGAGACTCTCCCACAGCAGGACCACGCTGGCATAGTTTAGCATAGAAAAGGAAGGAAATAGGGCCACAAGTCTCAAGGACAATGTGACTCTGGTAGAGTCCATTTTTATTTTTATTTAAAAACTTTCAATTATATTTATTTTTAACTGGTGCATAAAAATAAAAATTGTGATACTTATGGGATAATGTGATATTTTAGTACATGTATATTAGTAACATTGTATAATGTTTAAATCAGATTAAACATATCTAACTCATCAAACTTTTATTACTAATTATTATTATTTATTCATTATTTTATTATTTATTTATGGTTAAAATTTTTTCAAAATCCTTCCTTTTAACATTTCTTGAGAAGAATTAATTTTAGTTTTTACAAGTATATCTTTGCAACACATAGTATATTTATCATAGGGAGTTAGTACATACACATATCCTAAACCTTTTTTACTTCCCCCTTTCCTGCCCTTCCTTTAATCTCCTTTGATCCCCAGACTGTCTTCCTAGTTCCATAAAGTCTACATCTTTGTTTCCTATCATTCTTTTATTTTTAATCTTTAAATTATTTATACTTTGGGTGTCTGATTTAACCTTCTGTGTCTGATTTATTTCATTTAGCATTATGGCCTCAAGATGCATCCATTTTCCTATGAATAACTCAGTGTGTCCTTTATGAATGAGTAGTCCTCCATTGTGTACATATACCGAGTCATCTGTTGGTGTGCCAGAGTCCATTTTTAACCCAGAGGGATCTGATAGAGAGCTGAACTGTCCCATTTAAGAAGCCAGGCAAACTTGGACAAGCGATAACTTCCCTTCTCCCAGCCTCAGCCTTACCCTCTGTGTAATGAGCACAACAACTCGCCCTCTGAGTTGCTGTGAGGTATGAGTTCTGGTGCTCCCTGGCAACTTGTAGAGGCTGAAAGCTGGTGGCTGTTTTAGGAGTGACGTGATCATGAGTGAGGGTGCCCTGCCCTGTCTGGCAGCCCCCCACTGGGTCAGTCCATTCATCGATCACATTTTGGTTCAGCAGTGAGCCAGACCTTGTGATTCCCCTTTTGTTCTGTTTTCCTGACTCCATGTCTTGGATCTGTCTAGACTGCAATCTGCGTACTCTGCTTGTTAAAGCACCTATCATGTGATGGGCGTGTGCTTGGTGCTGCAGATGTGGCATCCCGTTGAATTCCCACACAACCCTCTGAAACAGCATCAGATCTGTTTCACAGCAGAGAAAATGGTGACTATTTATTCACTCCAAAACTTGTACAGAACTCCCAATCCTATCCTTGCCTTGCAGGAGGTACTAGGACACCATTCATTCATTCATTCATTCACACGTCAATCACCAAAATCTTGGTCTTTCTCATCACACCCAGGACAGCCTCACACTCTGCCCTGGCCTATGAGGGCCAACAGTCTCTGGCCTTTGCTCACCTCTTTGCCTTTTCTACCCCAGTCTCTCCTTCTTCTTTTTCCACCCTGGTCTCCCTGTTCTCCTCAAACACATCACACATTCATATCTTAGGGACTTTGCGTGAGGTACCTGTAATTGTGTACTGGATTCGCACAGGTGGCTGAGGGAGCTCAGAGGAAGGGGCTGATCCGGATAGACTTCCTGGAGGAGGCGGCTGAGATTGTTTTAGAGTGAGTTATCCAGGTCGGAAGTTGATGGGGTGGGTGAGTAAGAAAGGTGTCCAAGCTGAGGGGCCCCATGTGCCAAGGCTGAGGGCAGGGTGCCTGGGGCCTTTGCTGTGCAATGGCAGGTGGCTCGGCAGAGCTCCTACCAGGCTGTTCAGTGCTGTGCACTTGTTGTGATGCCTTGGGCAGATGGTATGATCTCTCTGCCTCCATTTCCTTGTCTGTAAAGTGGGGAAAAGACTAGTTCAGCTGTCATGAGGACACTTTCCTTAGGACAGCACTGAGCACAGGGCCCGCTCATAGTCAGTGCTGGGCCACTTTGGCTCTGTGTTAGGAAAGGCTCTGAGTGCCAAGCAAGGGGCCAGGCTCCCTGCAAATAGGTGCACAGTGGGAAGAGGTGTAGTCAGCCCACGTGCCAGAGGAGCCTTTGGGCTGTTGTGTAGAGGTGGATGGGAGGACATGATTGGGGGTCACTCCAGACCGGGTGAAGATCGGTGTGGACTCCTGAAGGGAGCGGCTGGAGCTGGGGCTGGGATGGTTGCATGGGGGCCCTGGGCAGTGCTCAGTGGCCATAAAGGTGAGCTCTGGAGCCCCAGCTTCACCTGGGCACAGACTTCACCCTAGGCTCCCTCCTGGCAGGTGTCTGTTTCCCCTACTTGTAAAGTGGGTGAGATCTTGGCTCTCATGCCAAGATGCTGCAGGGAAGAGTAACCCATGGGGCTGCTCAGAACTTTGTCAAGCTTAGTAACCATCAGATCACCTGTTATCCCGGGTCAAGTTAATGGGCAAAAGCAGAGGATTCAGGCTCAGTTTTGCCCAGACACAGAGATCTACATTGGGCCTCCATTTAGATGGCAGCTGGTGGTGTGGGATGCCTCCAGCTAGGATTTGAGGGGGGCTCCCCAGGGGATTCACTACTAATCTTGTAACAGGCTGGCCCAGCCACTGGTGGTATCAGGGAAAGCATGAGCCATCTGCTTTGTGTCTCAATGAAACTAGAGAAGCTCAATCATCTGGAACCCTAATCTGCTCAGTGCTAGAGCCGAGAGAAACAAACAGGCTGGGAAGGATCCGGGGGACACATGTCTACTTGCTGGGTACCAGGAGCAGACTGGTCCCAACTCAAGACAGGCACCTGGGCCTGATCTCTCATTGTCATCACTGAGTGACCTCAGGGGATCATCCATAAAGTAGGGCTAATGACACTGGCCTGTCATGGTTGGCAGGTGGGCTGAGTTCAACATACAAGTCCAGGGCCCTGAGCACACAGTCCCCTGGTAGCTCACTGAGGGCTCAGCTGTCAATGAATCAATGTTTCTGTGCAATTAATTATAGCTACAAGGTTGGGAGATCCAACAGAGCAGGCCTGGGCCCAGCTGCCAAGTGCAGGCAGAACAAGGGCAGCTCACTGCCCCCAAAAGTGCCCCTCTGACTGGCAAGGAGTGGATAGGTTGGGGGCATAGGGCAGTAGGGGCTTGGTAAATGGCAAGTTGGGGTAATTATTAGCAGACTGTGAAGGGGGACCCACTGTATGCTTCTGGAGGGGGAACCCCACTCTGGGGCTCATGGAATTCGTGGAGTGGGACCTTGAAACCCCCTGAACACCTGAGCAGACAGGGCAGTGTACAGGAATGAGGGACATGGGAGAAGGTGGACACCATCTCTGAGATTAGAGGCATTGCTTAGGAGGCCAGGGTGGGAAGGTTGTGAAACCCCCAGCCAGTTAGTGAGGAGTACATAGGGGATTTCACATTTCCTCATGGGAGATGTGCACTGTGCCACTGGAGTGGCCTTGAGTCTTCACATTTGCCTTCTAAAGGACTGACTGTGAAAGAGACAACTTGTAATAAATTACTTATAAAGCATTAATTCACTTACAAAGCATTTACTAAGGGCCTACTACGTGGTGGCCAGGGTTTTAGGTACTAACATATAGCAGGGAATAAGATGGTTATGGTCTGTGTCTTGGATGAGGTAACATTCTAGTGGGGGAAGGGATAACCATAGTCACCAAACAGGCATCAGATAAAGGGGAAAGCATAAGGCCCTGGTGACTGTTGTGATAAAAGCTGTGCAGCATGATATGAGAGAGCCTGGGAAAGTGCACTAGATACAGTGGCCAGCAAATACCTCTCTGGCCACAAGACGTTTAATTCATTTAGTACAAGAAAAGGTGAGTCACATGAAAGTCTGAGGTCAGGGTATGGCAAACAGGAACAGAAAGAGCAAAGGCCCTGAGGCATGAAAAAGTTCATTTGTGTAAGGAACACAGAGTAAGTTTTGCAGAATGCAGCTCCTGCCTTCATGGAGCCAGAGTCTGAAGGCTCACACAGCTAATTGTGACGTTGTGCCCTACTTTGAAGGGAGAGGTGCAAGTTACTGGGAGGACAGGAAGGACTAGCATCTCATCCAGCCTCAAAGGTCAGCAAAAGCTGCCCAGCAAGGGTGATATCTAATCTAGGACTGAAGTGACAAGTACTAGGGTTTTCCAGGCAGAGGGATAGAAGTGTGCAAAGACCTGGGGGATGAAATAGAAGGTTACATTCAGTAAGAGAGTTATAAACAGCTGGTTGTGGTTGGAGCTCAGAGCTGAGGTGCTAAGGTTTTGGGATGGGACTAAGGGTATTCCTGACATTTCAACAGAAGGTCAGCTTGATTCCACACTGTGGATCTGATTACAGAATTGATGCGCTGGCAAGGGCATTTTAGGCTGGGATCAGGGAAGGACCTGGAAACAGGGAGGCCAGCATGTAGAGGGGGTGAAGGCAGAGCTATGGCCAGGGTAAGTGACAGCCCTAGAATGGGAAAGGAAAATTCCAGAGACTTTACAAAGTATGGTTCAGTAATACAGTGCTTGTCTAGCATACATGAGGCCATAGATTCAATCCCCAGTACTACAAAAGAGAGAGAGAAAAAACAAACAAACAAAAAAAAAACGAAAAGAAAAAAGCACAGAATAGACCAGCATGTGACAACTTGAGGAACAGGGGAAAAGGAAGGTGACAGAAGCCTCAAAGAACCCATAAGAACACATAGCTACATATCTTTCACCTTGGAGGATGGTCAGAGTGGGATGCAAAGTCAGACAGATGAGATCAATTCCTGGCTTGCCCACACATGATCAGTACAATCGCTTCCCCTGCTTGTGCCTCAGTGTCCCCACCCATCCAATGAAATTGGCGCCGCCCACCTCAAAGAGCTGTCACACCCTCTGAACGTGGATGCATAGAAAAGCTCCTGGCATCCTGTCCTCTCTGCTCTTGTCAGTTCCTGCTTCCAGCCTTAGCCTTAACTCCCATGCCTCCCCTGGCTCCTCAGCTATAGAATGGGATAAAGGATGCTTGTCTTGTCATGCTCCTGACAGGAGTGAAGAGATGGCTTTGCAAGTTCAGGGTACCCACCACCGAGTGCGGCCAGCTCTCATGCTATTTTTCCTCCCTCCCCTACAGGAAGAACTGAGAAGAATGGCGTGGCAGAGGCTGGTGCTGACTGCCTGCCTCCTGGTACTGCCTTCTGCCACAGCAGAGTGCCTATCCCAGTGCTCGTTGTGTGCTGTGAAGACCCAGCATGGGCCCAAACCCATCAATCCCCTGGTAGGTTTCAGGGATGTTTTCTCAATGTCCAATCATTCTGTGTGCAGAACCTGGAGAGGGGAGGTCACAGGGCAGGCAGCTATGCCTGTCCCATGTTCATTCCACCTATACGGGGCTTATCTCATCCTATGGACAGCCCAGGTGCCCAGGCTTCCATCAGCAGCCAGACCTCTCCATCCTGGGTTCCCTTGGGCCAGAACAGAGATGTGAGATGCAGGTTTCCAGGGAGCTGGGTGCTTGGCAACAGGAGTGTCAGTCATGAGGGCTGGCTTTGCAGTCAGCATCTCTAGATTAACTTTTTAAGACCTCTCGCCTCTGGGCTGATGGGCCCCTTCAAATCCTGTCACTACCATGGAAAGAGCTACTTCCATCATCCCTAACTGCCAGATCAGGTAGTCAGGCTCCAGGCCTCAGCCCCACCCCTGGGTCCTAGCTTCTCTCAGACTGTCCTGGTGCCTCTCTCTTGACAGCAGGAAGGCTGGAGTAGAGGAGCCAAGGGTGTGATGCCCAGCACATGGGTCTTGTTTCTGCACCTTTCTAGGTCTTTGACTCTGGATCTCCCTCTTTGAGCCTCAGTTCCCTTACCTGCAAAGTTGTAGTGATTCTCTGAGATAATGATGAAAAGTATTTGAGATGGGCTTCTGTTTATTGTCACAGTGTGGCTAAGCAAGGAGGTTCATGGCATTAGACTGGCAGGCTCAAGTTCTGGCATTGTCCACTGTTGTACTCACTGTCACAGTTATTGTCATGACTAAATTCTCCCAAAAACCCCAGGGAGAATGTACTGTAGTCTCCTCGTTGAAGCTGGATGTCCTCACTTATGTCTCCTCAAACATATTCCTTGTGCTATTCTGCGTTGCTTTATTCCTATCTGTAAAGTGTTAGCAGGGCCCTTCACACCTGCACAAGGTGAGGAGAAGAGGGAGGGTGAGGCCACAGAGCTTGTGGAAAGAGCCTCCAATGCTGGCATTACCACCTGGACTATGTGACCTTGGGAGAGTCTGTTTCTCATCCTTAACAGGGGCACAAAGTCACCTACCTTTATGCATCACTGAGACATCAAATGGGTAGGGAAGTGCTTAGCGAGGTGGTACCCTTCGCTTTTTCTGGACCTGGACCAGGGCTCTGGGGTAGGGAAGGGCATGTGTTTTGATGCTTTGTTGGGGGTGACATCACCACTGTGGTCTTGTCTTTGGGGTATTTTGCAGATTTGCTCTCTGGAATGCCAGGACAGCTTGCTGCCCACTGAGGAGTGGGAGCGATGCCAGGGCATCCTGTCCTTCTTCACCCCCTCCATCTTCAGGCTCAGGGGCCAGAACGGCCTGGACAGCAGGGCAGCTTTGGAAGAGGCCTACGGGGAGCTGGTCAAGCATGCCAGGCCTTTCCTGCAGGAGCTGGGAAAAAGCGGACTCCTCTCCAGCACTCCTGCAAAGGACAAGCTCAGGGGTCTCTCTGGTGGGCTTGGGGAGGGCATGGAGTCTGAGGCAGTGGGAGCTTCCCAGCTGAACAGCGGCACTGTGGAGGCTGGAGCTCTTGGTTTCAACGCGGACCCCGAGGAGCAGGTGAAACGCTATGGGGGCTTCCTTCGAAAATATCCCAAGAGGAGCTCAGAAGTGGCTGGGGCTGGGGATGGGGACGAGGACAGTGTAGGCCACGAGGACCTGTACAAACGCTATGGAGGCTTCCTGCGGCGCATCCGTCCCAAGCTCAAGTGGGACAACCAGAAGCGCTATGGTGGTTTTCTCCGACGCCAGTTCAAAGTGGTGACGCGCTCACAGGAAGACCCCAATGCCTACTCGGAAGAGTTTTTTGATGTGTAAACGTGCCCTCATCCTGCAGCTGTGTCAGGAGCTTCCCCTCACACCTTCCCACACTGGAGCATACTCACTTCCCTCTTGTGTGTACCCTGTCCCCATACCCAGCTCACCACCATCTACAAAATATCCAAGCCCAGCTCATCTCTGTCCCGCCTCAAGTGCACTATTTACCTGGGGTCAATGACAGAGAAATGTAGAGGTTCCCCTCTACTGGGATCAGTGCTGGGCTTACACCTCTACACTTCTAAACTACCACCACCAGCAGCAGCTTTGGATATCAGTCTTCTACTCAGTTTAAGTGACTCCCCAATTCCAGGAGTCCAGAGTGAGTTGCTCTTTGTAGATCTGTGATGATCAAGTTTTATAGATCATATGCCCCTCCCAGGAGAAAAATGAGCACCCGCCCCATACAGGTAGTACATATGTACCATAAAACCTGCACAGAGTAATAAATTCAAACAAAAGAGATAAACATAAATAGAAATATCAACATTGTATTCTCAAACCCCAGATACCTCCTTATGCACCCCACTTTGGTGACCATGCATTAGGTGAAAAGCCTGAACACTAGATTTTATTGGGGCAGGAATTCTGACCCTGGGGAGCCCAGCCTTCTGGTAGACTAAATGCTCAGTCTGTGTTCTCTGAGTTCTCATCATTTAGAAATACATCTCTTGAAGAGCCAAGCTATTGAATGCACATTCATGTTGGTACCCTGGACTGTGCCCACCTCACCGAAGAAGGAAGTGGAAACTTCCTGGGTGGTAGAGGGCTCTTCTGAACACTCAGATGATCACAGAGGGAGCAAAGCAAACCAATTTGTTCTGTGTAACAAGCTCAGAATGTGGACCAGTTCCCCCAGCCCTCATTAAGCTAATTAGGCGCATTGGTGTCACACTTCTACCCCACGATGAACTGAAGCAGTTGGGTTGATGAGGTTAAACTCAGCCATGTTCTGGAGCAGCTGAACTGGCTGCCAGGAGCCCTGCCATCTGGCCCAGCATATGCACCGGGCATTGGATCAGGGAGTCCAGAGGCAGCGGCGTGAAGAGAGAGTGGCCCTCCTCAATCCCCACGACAATTCTTCCCTCTTAATGCCTCCAAATAAAACAGAAAGGGAAATGAAATGATTGACTGTTTGAGAGCAAGTGAGTTCCCTTGATTCAAATAACCCAGAATCAGAGGCAGAGACCTGATGCCTTGGTTTCAAAGTTCTGTCACACCCTCTCCCTCCCTCCCTCCCTCTCTCTCTCTCTCTCTCTCTCTCTCTCCCTCCCTCCCCAAGCACTGCCGGGGTTTGTGGGACAAGGAGATGGGCTGGATAGGACAGGAACCAGACTTGAGTGTGGATAATTGGTGTAAGGTGCTCCAAGCACACCTCTTCCAGCCTAGCCCCCAGGTCTCTCATTCTGAAATGTATAGATTGTTCTAGGGTTGCTTTGTGTGCTTTTTAAAAATTCCATTTATGCAATTTACTTGGAATTTGCTTAGTCTATAATAGGTCTGTGCAATTTCCTGCTCCTCCAGTATAATAAATAAAAGATGCTTATGACATTGTGTGTGTGTGCGTGTGTGTGTGTGTGTGTGTGTGTGTGTGCGCACGCGCACGCATACACTCAAGCCTCAGTCACCAGAATGCATGCTAGGGAATGAACCTAGCTAGCTAACTAGCTTAAAGTTGAAAGTTGGATCTATGTGACCTTGAGTAGGTCATTGGCCTCTCTGAACCATGGTTCTCTCTTCTGTGAAATGAAGACGATGATGCCAACTTTGTAAGGTGGCTGTGAGGGTTAGATGAAACCATGTATGCATAGCACAGGGTAGGTTTGAGGGTTTCCTTTCCTATATTGCCTTAGGGGACAGTGGCAGAACTAGGCATTCAGCACTAGGCAGGAAGAACCAGCAGAGGTGCCACAGAAGGAGCCTGAGTCAGGGCTGCCTTCAATACTGGAAAACCAGGAGAGAAAGGAGAGATGTTCCTAACAAGCATGCATGTGCTAAGGTTGAGCACTCAAGTGACAAGGTGGCAAAATGTCCCCAACTAAGATGACACCCTTCAATGAGTCATACAGATAAGATATTTTTAAATAAGAGGAGTGTCAAAGTGACTCACTGGTTACCAAACTCAGGTGTTCCATCAGGACATTGAGTTTCTTAGAGACATCCTAGAAAACCCAGGGTCAGGGAGGTCTCATTCATTCAATAAAGTATTACTTGAGGGCTGGGGATTTAGCTCAGTGGTTCCACCACCTGCCTCACAAGTTTGATCCTTCTCTCTCTCTCTCTCTCTCTCTCTCTCTCTCTCTCTCTCTATATATATATATATATATATATATATATATATAGATATAGATATAGATATATATAGATATATATATAGATACAGATATATATATATATCTGTATCTATGTATCTATATCTATCTATCTATCTATATATGTATATTACTTGCAGGCCAACAGTGGTAGGATGCATAGGAAAATAAAATGAACATGGCCTCTATTCTTGTGGAATGTGCAGCTTGGTGGGAGAGAGAAATAAACATATGAAAATATGAAACTAAAATTAAAACAGTGATAATTGCTATATAGAAAAGAACTGGGAACAAGGTGTGGTGGTGCTTGCCTACAATCTCAGTGCACCTGAGTCTGAGGCAGAAAACTAAAAAGGACTGGGGACATAGCTCATGGGAAGACACAGTACTGAAGGAAAAAAAAAAGGAAAGGGAAGGGCAGCAAAAGGAAGGAAAGGGAAGTGGGAGGGGAGGGGAGCAAAGCGAAGCATTGGGATATGGAGGTAAAGGAAAGCAGGTGTAGTTCCCTACTCCTTAGGGTATTTGGCAAACCCTTTCCTGGGGAATATTCCGACCCTAATATTCTTAGGAAGGAACCTGAAGTTTCGGCTCATTTTATTCAGGCACTTTGTGCCAAATGAACACGTCCATAATAAACCCTAAACTGCTTGAACATTTGTTTTGAGCTGGACTTCATAGTGTGTTCCAGTCCTTGATGACTCAGTGTTGGAAAGTTTTATCTTTTTGTTAGTTTAAAGGTTAAGTTTCTATCATTTTTATCCAGTGTGCCTTGATCCTGCCTTCTTTACCCTGGAAACTCCTCCAGGAAGAATTTTCTGTCATTTGAAAGCAAATGCCTTGATTTTCTCAACTGGGTTAAACAGACACTGCAGGCAATGTATTGGTTTACTTAAATGAAAAGTCCAGCAATATTTACTTTCAGGTAGAGCTTGATCAAGGGGCTCCCTAACACCCTCAGGATCTCTCCATCAGTGGGATCCTTTTTCCTCGGTGCTGGGTTCAGTCCAAGGGTCCATGTGCTTTTAAGATGGTTGCCAGAAGTTTCAGGCTGTGCCATGCAGGTTCAAGTCCCACGTACTGTTTTCACAGCAATCCTAGTCAAGGTTTCCCTCCATCTCAATGGCCCTGATTAGGCTGAATGTCCAACTGCAAGCTAGTAGCAATTACTGTGGACAGATTAATGTGATGCTCTGATTGACAGGACTGAACCACATGGACACCACTGAGCCAGGGGTAGATTCAATCCCATGCAAGAAAAAGGAGTGGTTCTGGATAGGGGAGATGGAGCATGGGTCTCAGTGGAATGAACACCAGCCCACCAGGCAGTAGTCAGCTGTTCCAGGGAGTGAAGGGGGCTGGTGGGGCTGGGGAAACCAGAGGGCATTTGCCATGGGCACATGGCCAAGAGGAGCCAGAAACCTGATTTTTAAGAGACTGCCAACACCTAGATCTGCATCCGACATCTCTGTTTTTTCGGGGTAGAAAGTAATTTTTGAAAAATACCAGGTTAGACAAACAATAACATGTTTGGCATCACACACATCATTCCAATTTTTAGTATATGTGCTGCCCAAGTGAGTACCGGCATCACACACGTCATTCTCTCACCACTATTTTGTGACTCTTTTAAAACCCTTTCATTTTTTTGGTAAGAGATTCTCCTTAAAAAGAAAATTTCCCCACATGCCCAAATCTCCAGAATACTGTTCTTCCGGTCTCCCTTTTCTAGGTTTAGTTCACTTGGTCACAGAAAGCATAGCCACACAGGTAGGTGGAGCACGGCCAGGGGTCAAAGAAGACCTAGCTAAGATCCAGCATCCCCAGGTGACTTGGCGCAATTGTATGCACCTCACTGAGACTCAAGTGTGGATAAAAATGTTGACATTGAGCCGGGGATTTAACTCAGGGGCACTGTGCCTGCTTTGCAAGCACAAGGTCCTGAATTTGATCCCCGGTACAAAAACAAATGTTATCCTCATTGGATGGAGGAAAATATTCAGTGATATAAAGCTTACAAAGACACAAAAAAAGTATGAAATACACCATCTTAAGGGGAGTGCCTCTGATCATGGTGATGTCACCTGAGCCAAGCCAGATAGGAATAAAAAGTCAGTCCTTCCAGAGTGTTGAGTCTTTGTCCCTGTCACTAAGGGTACTGTAGAATGGTCACAGAGCAGCACTGGTGAAGGAATGCCAACATCCTAGTAACCTTAAAAATGCCCATTACTAATAAGTACACAGTTTCCATGGCAACACTGTACATCATCACTGTGAGGTAGTCTTGTCATAATGATCATGCCCATCATTAGGATCCCTCAGGTTGGATCTCCCCTCCTCCGCCTCAAGCTCCAGCCCTTCACACAAACAAGCCCAAGGTTGGGGCTTGTCTGTTAATTAAAGTCCACAAAGTGAAGTCAACAAAAACACACAATGGTTTCAGGAACAATGGTTTCCTAGCAGATGTCATTTCGCAATCTTGATTCACGTGCTGGGTTCATGTCGCCTCCCCGTTAGCAGTGGAGATTTATAACAAAGGTTTGTAATTACTCCTGCAATATGTAAATGTGCACCTCTGTTGCACTCTTACATTATATGTCTTATCTCTTTCTAGCTGAAGCCTGTTCTGTGTCCCCAGCCCTTGCTCCATTCTTCATCACCTTCATCAGGCAGTTTGCCTCCTGAAAACACACACCTGTGTCACTCTCGCACCCCTCAGGACTCTTGCTGCTGCCTGTGGGACCTGCCAGGAGTCTGGCAAATGATTTCTGGTTGTCCATCAGACCCGTACAATGTTTGGATGTGGGAAAGGAGCACCGCACCGAGAGTCTCAGCTCTGCTCAGATGGGGGGTGGCTGTGACCTCTCCAAGACATGGACTTTTTCTTCTATCAAACGATGTTGATAATAGTGTGAAGTCTTCTGTCCTTGACACATAATACCTGATCTGCATTGATAAATAAATGCTAAACAGCACAGCTGAGGCTCAGTTTTCACATCTTAAAATGAGAGTGAAGATTCTGCCCTGGTGGGTAGAGGGAAGTCATGTGAGAGGACTTGGGAACAGGGTCTGGCCCTAACTTGTACCTTTAGAGTCAATTTTTTCCCACCTGAGTCTATCTGGTATTTGATAAACATCATGGATCATCTGTTGTGGACCCTGCTTTGGGTTCAGTAATGGTCAAGTACTACTTTGTAAGGACGTACTTTCTGAAGGTGAGACCCATAGACTAAACAAGATGCAGTGGGTCTCAGTGTGTCCGGTGGTCATGAACTGAGAAGGAAAAGAAAGAGTAAAGGGATCTGAGTGATGCAGGGCAGGGATTGTTACTCAGAGGCCACAGGCCTCTCAGAAGGGGTATATGTGGGCAGAGATGTGTAAGAGGTCAAGCAGGGAGCCTGGTGGGTGTCTATGCAAGGCAGTGGGGAGGAGGAGCATCCCAGGCAGAGGATGCAAGTGCTGAATCCCATATGATTACTTCCGGTAGTCTGAGCACAATGGAATAAGGAAGCTAAGGGGACAAGTGAGGGCAGAGGTAGGAAATGAGGCTGCAAATGTGGATGGGACCAAATGGCACAGGGTCTCCTTCATCTCAGAACTATCTTGGTTTTTGTTGTTGTATGTTGGCTGTAGAGCCCCTTTTATTCTCAGAGTGCCCTGGTCTGGACATTATATTATTTCTGCTCAATTTATGGCCCGGGGAAACAACCTTGACTCTCAACCTATGATGAGATAGCGGATACAGGAAGGTTTTAAGCACAGAAAGGACAGCATCTGAGCTAAATGGAAAGGGGTGGCACTAACTTCTGTAAGGCTAGCTCTGATGGTTTCTATTTAAATGTCTCCCCATAGCCTCATGCCATCGTAGGTAGAGATTTTGAAAGGTGAATGGATTACAGAGCCTTGTATCTGATTTGCTGTTGAGAAGTAGGATCCACTCAGAAGATGTGGGCTGCTGTAGGCATGACCTGGAAAGGCTTATCTCCTTTCCTGGGTCCTCCATGACTCTCTGCTTTCTGGTCACCATGAGGTGAGCAGCTTTTCCTCCACCATGTCTCTCTCTGCCTTGGGGCCAGGGGACTATGAACCAAAACCTCTACAAATTGAGTCAAAGTAAATGCTTCCTCCTTTAAGTTGCAGATGTCAGGTGTTCTATCCCATTGACAGGAAAAATGACTAAGAGCAGTCTGTGGGGAGCACAAAGGAGCATTCCAGGTACAGCCATGGA